TACACTTGTAACGAAATCAGTGTAATTAGTGTGTGCTGTTTGCGATGTGTGTTTGAACTGTATTGAATCCCTTTTTATAAACTTCTGCTTGAGTTAAAAAACAGCAGAATAACTCCCTCCAAAAAACTCAGCACAGAGATCTAGGGAAAAAAATTGAGACTCATAAAAGTTTAGAGTGTGATACGATGTGGTATTGTCGAATAAGCACTGGGCTACAAACCATAAGGTGCTCCTCGGAAACCCTACGCAGGGTCACTATGAGTCAGAACCGACTCAATGTCATCTAACAACAAAAACAAGGGCCAAAATGGTAAAGTGCTCTTCAAGACCAGGAACGGGATCTTATTCATAGTAGTACTTCTAGCACCTCGCATAGTATTTATGAAATGAATAAGTTAACTAATTTAATACAAAATATTTGGCCAAGATCACATACCAAGGAATGGAAAGTTGGGAAAAGCTAGCGGGGCTAAACTACATGGAGCTAAGCATATGAGTGCCAGCCTCCAGTTCAGGGGTCCATAAGACTTCCTCCATTTCAGTTCAGCTAACTCCTTCATTCATATTCCTAGCCAGGTCAGCAGGTGCCAGCAAAGGAATCCACATGACTTCCTGCACTGCAGACCAGCTGGCTCCCTCCCCTTGCTCCTTGGAGTTTGATGGTTTGCTGGAATGAATGAATAAAATGTTTGTTTATGCATCCCAGACACTGGCAAATTTCTAGCTGGCCATACCTAGGACAAAAAAGAATGTCTTACCTTTTGTCCTAGATATGATCTTGAAGTAGGCATAAGAGTTGAATGGTGCCTGACCTGTTTCTTTAATGGCTAGAGAGTTGCATCATTTATCAAAACAGATATTGTTTACAAATGACTTGTTTTCCCACATTACATTGGTTTCATCACTTGGGCAATATGCTTATTTCATGCCAGCATTAAAGAGCTAACACATCCTTTCCTTTTCTATCAATCTCAGAGTTACCAGTGCCAAGGTCAAGAGACAATTTAAAAAATAAAAACAGGTAGTATTTATTGAGTAACCATTAAGTGCTCAATATAGATAGTATTGATGTTTAAAATATCAGTTGTTGTTGTTAAGTGC